TTTCATTTAATATTCTCAATTTAATACTTCACTTCCTTTTCATTACTGTTTCTTGTGTTATTAGCTCACATTTTTTCCCTTTATTTTGTCTACAATTCAAGAGAAGCATTTAAACATACAGAAACCCCCATGTTCTCAGTTGCTTTTTCCCTATTACTCTCATTTAAATCCCACCACTTGGGGACACATAGACACATACACACTCCTTATTTAGATTATGCATTAAATATCTTCAAGGTAAGATGTTTCTTGGGTAGGGGGGAGATGTTCCGGCATTTAATTTTCTTTAATTAATTAATTAATTTATTTATTTTCTTTATTGATTAAGGCATTACATAAGTGTCCTTATCCCCCCATTGCCCCTCCCACATCCCCAACTAATGTCCTCACCCTCCTAGTATCTGTGTCCATTGGTTATGCTTATATGCATGCATAGAAGTCCTTTGGTTGATCTCTCCCTCTTTTTGTTTGTTTATTGTATGTCCATCCCTGGAACAACAATGTTAAAAATAGCCAATACAATTATTTTATTCAGTTCTAATAAGTTATGATAAGTTATACTTGAAGAATAAAGCCAGTAGGAGTTACCAAAGATCAGAGATAATAAAATGTAGGAATTGTATCATATCAGAATTAACAAGCATAATTTGTCTCTCATTTTTCTGTTTGATCTAACAATCAACTTTTCAAAACCTGACACCAAATAAAAGGAAATGTAGAGCCTACAAGGATGGAAGGGTATAATCTGAACCCAGTCTACTGGTTGTGTGTAATTAGCCTTTGTAATGCTCTGGAAACAGTCTTTCTTGCATATCTATACTCTTGTCAATGATTCCCTTAGGATTGACAGCTGGAGTGTGGGGAAACCATTTGTGTTCACAATGTAAGAAATTATCTCTGCTGAATATGCTCGCATTTGCACAGGAGATACTATTTTAATCACAGTGTACAGTAGCATAGATAATGTACTATATCCTGGAAGGCTACTGTCTAGATTATCTTCCATTTGAGATCACTGTTTCAATTCTCCATTTACATTTTAGTTTGAAATGAGTACTTTCTTTATTTAAAAAGTATCCCATCTCTGCCTTTCTGCTGATACAACTTTCCCTTTTTCATGTCCATCCAATTTGATGAATCAAGACAATCACTTTATGGGAAAAATAAAAAATTTGGCCATTAAGAGGCAAAAACAGGCATCCCACAAAACAAATTACCTGATTGACATTTATGACCAACATACAGGCTGATATTACCTTAAGTATACTCTCAGAAATCTTTTAATTAGGACTGAATTTGTTAGTGAAAAAAAAAATCAAAGTACTCAACAGCTTAAAAGAATAAGACTTTGGTATCACAATGGTTTTTTATGGTACTTTGATTTCATTTCTGAATACATCACTTGGGAGATTGACAAATTGATGATTTTGATAGAGAATCTTCCCTAAGTATAATTATTGTTCAGAGTAAAATATTCAGAATAGTAGAATAATATTATATTAAAATATTTGTCCCAACATTGCTTTAACAGAATACTATACTGTCACTTAGACATAACTAAAAAGGTAACTGGTATTGTAAAAATTTATCAGTTGATGTACATATGATCTAGCATTATTAGCATTACAACATATACTTTTGAGAACGTGGTTTTTAATTTTTATATATATTTAAATATTAAGTTTTGTGATAAGGCTTTCATCTTCCCACAGACAATGACAGATACCTAAATGCCAATTTTCTCAGGGATCATCCTAAAAATCATAAAAGTCAATAGGGAGTCAAATAAAAGTACTCATAAACTATGCCTAAAGAATAGTTAGAGAAAGAGACATTACAAACTTTAATTTACATGTAAGAAGAAATATGAATGTTCAAAACCATCAAAACTGTCTCAGGAGAGCACACTGTCATAGTGTTGGGCACAAAGTAAGTGGGAAGGGGGTATACCCAAGTGTCCTTGGAGTGGTGGAAGATATACACGTTAGGTTTACTCTCAGAAGAGGGCTGCCCCTGAGGAGGCTAGTGACCTGGATGAACAGAGCACTGGTTACTAGAGAGACAATAGAAAGTGGCTTGGAAAGTGCACAAGACCCAGAGAGTCGTCTCAGAAAAGCATTACTCCTTGGAGATGTGGGGAGAACTTCACAGGTGGACTTGTCCTTTGGGAAGAGGGAAACAAGGAGGCAGCTGAATATAAGGTCCCTTTGCTAATATAAAAGGAAAAGTAACAATTATTTAACCAATAAAGCCCAGCCAATAAACCAATAAATCAGTGGATGAGCGTCGACCTATGAACCAGAAGGCCACAGTTCAATTCCAGGTCGAGGCACATGCATGGGTTGGGGGCTCAATCCCCAGTAGGAGGCATGCAGGAGGCAGCTAATCAATGATTCTCTCTCATCATTGATATTTCCATTTCTCCCTCTCCCTTCCCCTCTGAAATAAATAATATTATTAAAAAATAATCCAATAAAGAGTAGTTCTTTGGAAAGAAAAGTACTAATAAAAAAATTTAGATGGAGGAAACAAACAAATGAATGAACAATCGGAAAACTCACAAAGGAAATAACTGTAGAAACAAAATACTTTAGCATACCATAAAAGATGACTATGCACAATTCTATTAAAATAAAAATTTAAAGTCTATATGAATAATTTCTAGAAAACAAAATTTAACAAAATTAATATTGGTTGAGCTGTATAATCGACTAGACCAATCTCTGAGGAAAACAAAGACAAAAGAAAAAACAAGAAACTTGTTCAAAAGCTACTACACTGGTAAGTACCAGGCCTACATCATTTCACAGAAGAATCAAACTTAACTTTTGAATCTAGATAATACACAAACTATTTAAAGAGTTCTGTAGCATAAAAAAAAATAAGAGAAGAAACTCCAGATTATTTTTTACGGAATTATAACATTCATATAAATATCTATGAACTTGCACATACACACAGAACATTACAGAATCTCTAATGAATATCAATGCAATAATTTTAAGTTCATAATTCATTTAAGATGAAGTTATTCAAGATCACATTACAAATAAAGTTCATCATGTCTAAATGTGTTTCCTTTTAGAGACACAAGGATGATTTTATATCAATAAACTTCATTTATAACATTTACCACAAAAATAAGAAAAGAATAGTGCACCCATTTTGAGAGATACTGAAAGCCAAGTTACACATTTCAGCACCCCTTCTCAATAAATATGTCAGTGGAGACTGTCTTAAAATTATAAAGCACATACAACTTAGTCCACATGCCATCATTTCAATTAATTGGGAACATTGATGACCTGCACACAAAATTTAGGAATCAGGCAAGATGCTCACTGACAACCGCTTTTTAATATGTTGAAGGGAATAGCTGGTACAATTAGAAAAAATAAACTATTAGATGCATAAGAATTGGAAAGGTAATGCACTCTATGAGAGTCAATATATAAGCCACTTACAAACTAATAAACATCACTAAGATAGTAGAATATAAAATGAACCTACTTAAAAAATCTGTAGCCTTAAAAATATGAAAGAAAAGATTCTATTTATAATGGCTGCAACAAAATAGCAAATGTCAAGTAGCAAACAAAACAATGCATTTTAAAAGCACTCCTAAAAACACAAAAATTAAACTTAAATGAAAATACATAAAGTACACAATTTTATATAGAATGGACTCAATGTTATAAAGATTTTAACTTCCTTTAAATTAATTTATAAAGTTAATGTGAATTTAATAAAAATATTAAAGGGATTTTTTTTTCTATCTAGATATGTTGTTTCTAAAGTTCATCTAAAGTGGTAAGCAAGAAATAACTCCAACCCCCTAAAAATTCATATAAAAAAAAGCATTTCATGTCAGATATTTAAAAATGTGTTATTCTGGAGGATAAATAGACCACAATAAAGTTGAGAAGTAGATGAAAGTACACAGGAAGTTTAGTATGTGATAAAGGTAATATCTCAAATTCCTGGTAAAAAGATAGATTTTCTAATAAATAAAGAAGTAACAGCCATTGATAAAATGTTCAATTAAATTGATACCATGCACTATAAAACAAACTAAGCTAAAGTGTACCAGAGATCCTAAAACATAAAACCATACAAGTTCTAGATTAAAAATAAATATACTTACAACCTTGGAGTACTTAAAGCTTTTGTACTTGACTTAAGAATTCAGAATTAAAAAAAAAATTGATGAATTTAGCCAAATTAATAACAACAACAAAATGCTTTTGCATCACAAAAATCAGGAAAAAAAGATAAAAAACACACACAATGTATTTGCTGCAGAAGTGATTTGTAACTGATTCCAAAATTTGAAAGAACAAAAAAAGCAAAAAAAAAAAAAAAAAGTATGTAAGAAATAGTTGACAGAAAATATGTTTGTGGTGCTTAAATATATGAGCATCACTCATGATAACAGAAATGTAAATTAAAACTAATTGAGATACTACTGACCTAGCAGAATGACAAAAATCAAGAGGGCTGACTCACTCTGTTAGTATTGCTTTGGGGAAAATGTCTACCACACTGCTTATAATAGTGTGAAATGGTTGAAACCATAGGAGGGGAGTTGGCCAGTATCTGAAAAAGATTATGAATGCATCTACACTATGACCCAGGAATCCCACATATAAAACCTAACCTAAAGATGCTTAATCCAAAAATATACATTTACACATATGGAAATATATATGCAAAATTCATCCTGGCATTATCTGTGGTAGGGAAAGTTTGTAACAACCTAAATGTCCATCGTAGGGGACTGGTTGAATTTATAAATGTTATATACAAGTCATTTGGCTTTGAAAGCAGCTGATTGATTCTGTAAGGAGCCAAAAACTTCAGCTATGGCTTTTGAAAGTAGAAAGTTATTTTACTTAAAATGTAAACTTGTTTTGAGAACCGAAATAGTGAATGAAGAGTGTATGAAAATAATTACAACAGCAGAATATCAAGCACACTATGTACATATTACTTTTACTTACGGTTGATAGTTTTGACTGGTAATATTGGGTTTACCCTTTCTGGGGAAGCAGCATTTTCCTCATCTGTCACATATTCAAAATTAATGATGAACATCATCGCCACACCCTCTTGATTTTTCACTGGGATTATGTGTGTATTACAAATGAAAGTGGACCCTGAGGAAATGAAAGAAGAGAGTTAGGTTAAAAATATGCCAACATTTTGCAGTATCATAATATTAAAATTTTAATAAAACCATATAGAATTTTCTATCTTACATGATAATTAAAATTAAATAAAAATTCTTTTATCTTCTTCTTATTGTACATGCTTGTGTTGCAATTAATATACATGCTTTTATTGCAATAAATAATGCAGTAATATGTTAAGCCACATCATGGATTTGCACAACCTTGATTCCTTCCCCAGGGTAGCTGGTACAGTAACTTCATATACATTTTCCCCCACCCCCAATATTTACTATAACTAAATATTAAGTATCATTCATTATAAAAAATTTGCATTATTTTCTATTTTAAAAAGTTATATAAATGGTACATACATGTTATTTACAATTGGCATTTTTTTCAATTACAGTTTATATTCAATATTATTTTATATTAGTTTCAGGTGTACAGCATTGTGGTTAGACATTTATATAATTTACAAAATAACCCCCCAATAAGTCTTGAACCCACCTGGCACCATACATACTCATTATAATCTTAGTAACTATATTTCCTATGCTGTGTTTTATATTCCCATGAATATTTTGCAAATATCAATTTGCACTTCTTGAAAAAATACTTTAGTTTTTATTTCATATTTTATTACTATATATTTACTTAAAATATGCACAAATTGTGCCAGAAAGTATTCAAAGGCAAATTCAGGTATTAAGTTATAGAATAACAGAATATGAATTCTCACTTGTCTCACCACCAATAATTAAGACAGACTAAAAAAATTAGTATATGAAAAAAGACATATTTTCCAACTTTATAGAAAAAACATTTAGCCTTTCCTTATATATTTTGCTTAAATCTGAATCTATATAAAATATGTGTATAAACAATAAAGATAACTTTTTTTTGTGCCATTTTGATTCATGTAATAGGCCTTCCTTCCCCTGGCTGTTGGCAATGGTTTTCCTCTGGCACCGGAGACCCAGGTCTTTGCTCCAGCCGCAGTGGAGAAGCCAAGCCTCTTCAGTCTTCAGTCTTCACTTGGGTCTGAGCCTTCAGTCTTCGCTATGTGCCCGCATATGCAAATTAAGCAGCAAATTTTGTTGGGTTAATTTGCATATTCACACCTGATTGGCTGGTGGGCATCATGGAGGCATGGTCAATTTGCGTATTTCTCTTTTATTAGCGTAGGTGAGTGAAATCTAATGGTTCTTGACTTTTTCTGTTTGACTTAGTTCCCTTTGCATGATATTCCACCCATGTTGTCACCATGGCAGTTTCTTCTCCCCATCCAGCCTCTGCTTTTTTGTGTGTTACTCCAGGCCTCAAAGCAGCTGACTTCCTCAACCTGCATGACTCTGGCTTCCTAGGCCTCTTGGTTCTAGGTAGATTTGGCTAATCGGTGGCATTGGCAGGAGATAGGAGGGTGGGAGGGTGAAACCAATGTTGCCCCCAGCCTTACCAGGACCACAGGTCCTAAAGGCCAGCCTCTTCTAAGAGTGGTAGTGGTTCCTGGCTGATGCTAGGCCCTGGGTGGCTAGAAGTTCCCCAGTGGCTCTTGTAGCCCTGTTCACACCTCTGCAAATGTTCTAAACTTGTCCCTGTTGAACGCCACTTGTGGCCTGACAGGACCCCACTCATATACCTCTCCCTTGAAGCACTTACCCTGAGGTTGGGCCCTTTTTCTAGGTTCCTGGGGCAGCTAGGACATAGGACAGAAGACACTAAACCTGCAGAGATAATGCAGAGTCCAATGGCTTTCTTTTTAAACAACTGGTTGAGAATGCCTTGACTCTTCAGGACAGTGATGGTTCACTAGAGTCAGCAGCAGGTTGGCAGCAAGGTGGGTCCAGCGCCAATTTGAGAGGGAGATGTAGGAAAACAAAAGGACACCAAGATACTAAAGATATGGGTAAAGGCAAAAAGCAGGATTTTAATTGGGGCCCCCAACATCCGGGAAGGCCAATGGACACCAGTATTCCAAAACTGTGCTCCATCTTTACTTTGACTGTTGAAAACAAAATGAGTATGAGAAAATTCTTTCCTTTCTCCTCACCCCTATAACATGGCTCCTGCTGCCAGAGCTGAGAACAAAAGTTACTGCTAATATTTCTATAGCCTGAGACATGACAGGATTTTGAGGGTGGGCTTGGAAATCTAATTATTATTTATAAAATTATTTCTATGGGTGAACGTATTCTAATTTCCAAGGAACTCATTTACAATAATACTTTTAGAACATGGACTTTGTAAGTTGGAAAAGCACAAGTGCTAGTTATGATTCAGATTTGAAATGTGGATAGCATCCCAAATTTGTAATGTAGAATACTTTATTTATAATTATTTTTCATATTTTCTATAAGTGTGTCCATGGTTTTACTGATGTGGGAAAGTGTGTTTAAGAATGACATGCTGAACCCTCACAGTCTTCAGCTACATCTTTAATTTATTTAATAAAATATTGAGCTAGAACACTTGTCACAGTTGCCATGGTAACAAATAGGATAACTTTCGTAAACAGAAAATAAGCAATTTAAGACTGTTCCATTAGAACTAAATATAGAAGTGCTTCAGGCCAGGCATCACTACAAATTGGTTAAACAGAGAGTCTATAGAGATGCTAGAAATAGCCATTATGTATTTTGCTAATGAGCCAAAATATATATTGATTTTATCACTTAAATTGACATATCTTGGATCATTTAGAGTATCGTGAATTTGAAGATTGGTTACTTAGTTTGAAAGCATATCGCTGACTGTACAAAAAACATAAAGTACAGATTTGTGAGAAATCAATAAAGAATATGAGGATAGAAATCTAACAGTTTTATAAGAGAGCAGAGTAATATTGTTTTCAGTAGTTAATGGGGAAATAATTTTTTCAATAATAATGATTGCAAATTTATTGTCTAGTGCTAAACAAATCATAAAATTACAGTGCTTTATTAAAAAAGTTTATATGCATTAGCCTGAAAACATATTAAATAAGTATAATTATCTTGGATTTACTGCCCACTACTATTGTTTCCTGAACGCTTCTTCTAAAGTTAACTGAAGACTTGTATTACTTTTTTTCTCTTTTAGTTTTTGGATTTAATATCTCTATCCATCTTTCATAGCCTTCTGGAAAGCAGATATTGAAAGGAAGTACATATAATTTAGAAAAGGAGACTTAAGTACATTTTATAGGGCAAAAACATTTTAGCTTGCATAATTCTATAAATTCTAAATTCTGTTAAGCTATTACTTTGTAAAATAATATTATCCTAAGAAGTCACTACAGTGTGATTCTAAATATTTTTCTTGAATACAAAATTAGGAGCAAGAGATATGGAAACATAATTCAGCCAACACTAATCTAGCAATGAAGAAAAAGTAGTCACATTTAATAGTGCATAAAAAGGGGACGAAAAACAATCTAGAATAAAAAGTTCAGTCTTTGTTAAAATGAACCTTGCATTCAAATAAAATTAATGTTATTAATAAGCTTATTTACAATAACATTACCCAATAATTATAAAGTTATATTTGCAGTGATACTACTGTTATGTAGAATCACGTTCATTTCTCTATTGTCTCCTGAGTGGAAGACAATAGTAGCTTTTAACAGATTCTCATTCTCAGAGTGGGAAAGAATAGGTAAAAAGAATAGTGCTCGTTTTAATAAAATGTCTAGAATGTTAATTTTTAACTGTAACCATAGAGCCAGAAAACTCAGGGAGATCCGAATAATCACCTCTTTACTAATAAATTGGTGGCATACTCCTAGATGCATTTTATTAATTTCCCTCTTTATTTTATTTTATTTTATTTTATTTTTATAATTTTTAAAGCCAGAACTCTTCTCTTTGAGCCCTAAACAAAACAGATGCATATCCTTGCCATTGTATAGTTTACAATCTAGTGAAGTTGGGAAAGACAGAAATAAATAAGTGAAATACATAATAGATTAAATGGTGAGAAAAATCATAGAATATTAGGAAGAATATAGAGAAAGAGGATAGTGAGTGCCAGGAGAAAGGAAAGGTTTGGGCTGACAAAGGAGAGCTATTGGATGGAATAAGAAAGGGAACTGATAGGCGCTGGCCACTCTAAAGACATGGATACACAAAACACTATGTTAGTCTATTAAGCAACGTCATTCAGAAAGACTAACAGTATACCAGGCCATATAGTATAGCTGGGGAGTGATAGATAATGCTTGAGCAGTAGGATGTCACATCCTGATAGCTTTCTATGTTCTTGGAATTCAGTCTTTTGGTGTTAAGATATAGTAAATTATTTTAACTATGAGAGTATCTTCAGAAGTATTTTAGTGTAGAGACAGGACATAGGCAGTTTTAGGTACTAGAGTTATCTTAAAAAGAGGAGCAAGTTCAAAAGATACAGGAGCTGCTTATTTGATTGAAGAAACAGAAGGCACATATAGAAGACTGGCTTAATTACAATATCATATCAACAAGAATAAATGGAGTAACAGCTCCATTTAGCACATATAGTCTCTTCAGCTTTGTGGATTGAGTTAAACTTGACTACTTGTAGGAGACAAGCATCCTAATACTTGCCTATTTCTCTTATTTCATCAGTCTCTTGCTTAAGCCTGATAGAGTCCAGTCAAAGCATATAGAGAAACTCATGTGAATTAAAAACAAGCAAACATTTTATTAACAAAAAGGACTGAGATGTGCATCTGATAATACATTAGATCAAAAGAAATAACCTTAACACAATCATCATCAACATATATAGATTTAACATAACAGTCACCAATATAATTTAATCACGACAATTGTGAACATATTTAGACAGTTGATATAGTTGTTGGAATATCATGTGACAATGAATACTCTTTTGAAATTTCCAGGGGAGATTATTTATATGCATTTCATTTGAAAAATAAAATACTAACCTAATTTACACAGATCTGTCTGTCAGATTCTTGCTCTGTGTGGTAGTATTAGTGTTCTCTCAGATTCCAACAGCATG